ATGGAAGAAAAAATGAATTAAGGAATTGTACAGATACAAATTATAAACTTGTGCAGATGGAGGTGAAAAGTGTTTTGTTTTATTAAATGGATGAGAGATGCTATCACCTCTGATAGTCTCAATTCCTCTCAGAATACAAATTTTCCTCTTTCCATATGGCATAATTTCACAGGAATTGTCTTTGCTTTAATTCCCCTCTTCCAGGTCTCTTTGGAACTCTTTCCAGAAAGATTTTGCTCTCACCATTCCACCCAAGCTCTGTATTAAGGTCACTGATGAATTTCATGTTGCTAAATCCAATGTTTAATTCTCAGTCATAATCGTATTATCCTTGCTTGCAGTATTTGACACAGTTAATCATTCCCTACTTCTTAAAATACTTTGTTTGGTTTCTCCACAACATACTCTTTTAACTTTCATCTGCCACAATTACCACTCATCCTCAGTTTGGCTCGTCCCTATCCCCCAGACATCCTAATGTTGAAATGTCCCAAGATTCAGGCCTAGACTCCTTCCTCTATTCTACTTACACTCATCTACTCTTCTTTGGTGATCTAAGGACTTTTCATACTATCTATACACTCATGCTTCATAACCAGGGTCAGGCTACTTTTGTCCTTAACAAAACTCTCACACCCAGGCTTTCATAAAATACCTTACCTTGTTCCTATAATTACTTAATTTACTATTGGGTTATTTTGAAGCAAGAAAGGACTGGATTTATCTTCCTTTTCTCTTACTAAGTAATTATAAATTTTCCTAGAAGTCTGGTGCACAGATTTGTGCACCGGTAGGGTCCCTCGGACTGGACTGCACCCTTTCACAATCTAGGGTCCCCTCGGGGGATGTCAGAGAGCCTGTTTCAGCTTGATCCCTGCAGGTCAGGCCAAGGGACCCCACCAGTGCACGAGTCTGTGCACCATGCCTCTAGTATGCATATAAGATCTTTGGTTAGTATCTTCCCGCCCTCCCCTCTTCCTCCTTCTTTCTATGATTCATTCAGCATTCTGTTTCATGTTTTCATGCTTGTGGTTTCCACTCCTGCATTGAGTGTCTGCCCCCTGGTCAGTGCACATCATAGCTACTGGCTGGCCGGGTGGTCACTTAGACTTTTATATACAGGCAGCCTTCGGGTTATGTCAAACTCAGCGTACATCATTTCATGGTTATGTCACCATCTCCCATTTATTTATTTTTTTAAAAAGTTCCATCATTTCAATGTGTGTACATATGTGCTTTATGGTTTCTATTTATTTACCACAAGTAAAGGTCAAAAATTGTTATCTTTCTTTAATTTTTTTTTCTGTTGCACTTCATTACTGCTGTGTATGTGCTTATGTAGGTGGGTTCCAACTTACGGCAAAAAACATGTTGTATCGAATCATAGGAATGGATCTCCGATGTAACCTGAGGACCTACTGTATATAGATGACTTAGGGCAAATGAAAGTCTGTCTAAACTTTTATTTCTTTATCTTTAATAAGAGTAACAATAGCTAACAATAATATAGTACCTATTATGTGTTGGGTATACACATACATATTTATTATTACTCCCATTTCACAGACGAGAAAGAAACAAATCTAAGGTCACAAAGCTATCCTCACAGACTGGCTAAGCCACCGGGGTATGTGCTGCTTATGCTATATGTTCTTGCAAGCCTTGAATCAATATTCATATGCACATGTTAGCAATCTACTCATGATAATTTTTCATTTAATGTTTATTTTTTGGTAAAAGAGGTATTTCAGGGTTGGAGATCATGTAATTGTTATTGGATATTACAGATGGGACCATATTATTTTTCCTCTTAAAAAGATTTATGATAGCCAAAGCCGGTTTGGCTCAGTGGTAGAGCGTCGGTCTGTGGACTGAAAGGTCCCGGGTTCGATTCCGGTCAAGGGCATGTACATTGGTTGCGGGCACATCCCCAGAAGGGGATGTGCAAGAGGCAGCTGGTTGATGTTTCTCTCTCATCGACGTTTCTAGCTCTCTATTTCTCTCCCTTCCTCTCTGTAAAAAAATCAATAAAATATATTTTTAAAAAAAAAGATTTGTGATAAAATTAAACTAATCAAATAACTAAATTATTTAGAGACTTAGAAAATAGCTAAAACATAATAGTTTTAAGAGAAATGCTTTCTTAGTCATTATGTGGGAGGCTAGACTTGCAGTATATTTTCTTGAGGAAAAGAAAAATTAGAATAACCACTGTCACTAACAAAGAAGAGCAAAGGATATATGAAGTGTCTTGCTGATTGAATAGAAAACAAATGTCTGTAAACCTTCTATGTTAAATACCTGGGTTGAAGCAATAGTCTGCCTGAGATAAATGATATTTCTGTCCTTAATCTCACATACTTTGTACTGATGTTTTTTTGTTTTTGTTTTTTTGTACTGACATTTGAAAAGTGCTCAGATGGTAAAGAAGAAATCTCACAGGTTATAAAATACAAAAAGTGTCTGCTCTCTTCATGTTGGCACTGGTAGGAGTTTAGGTTACAGGCTGCCCTTATTGATATTACTAGAGGCCCCGTGCATGAATTCGTGCATGGGTGGGGTCCCTCCACCTGGCTGGTGATCAGGGTGGCTGGCTGGGGGGGAGGGGCTGTGAGAGGTTGGCTGGCCACAGGCGGTTGGCTGTGGGAGTGCACTGACCAGCAGAGGTCAGCTCCTGCTTTGAACATCTTCCTTCTGGTAGTTAGTGCACTCATAGCAACTGGTCGACTGGTCATTTGGTAGTTCAGTTACTTAGGTTTTTGTATATATAAATATTAAGTAGTTTTTAAAAAACCTGCAATTTATCTGACATCAGCCATCCCATCTGAATCCTGTCCCACCCCTTCATAATTCATGGCAGTTCTTAATAAATGTGTTAAAATGTTAATCTTGTTTTTCTAATAAATATATCAGATAAGTAAAACAGCAAAATATATATATACTAGAGATTCAGTGCACAAGAGTCCCTCAGCCGATCTGTACCCTCTTGCAATCTGGGAATCTTTGGGGGACATCCCTCTCACAATCTGGGACAGCTGGATCACTCGCCTGCCTGCCTGCCTGCCTGATCACCCCTAACCTCCTCTACCTGCTGGCCTGATAGCACCCCGAACTGCTTGCTCCCCCGTACCAGCCTGATTATGCCCCTAACTGGTTGCTCCCTGCATCGGCCTGATATCACCCCTAACTACCTGCTCCCCCACGCTGACCTGATCTCTCCTTTAACTGCTTGCTCCCCTGCTGGCCTGATCGCCCCTAACCAACTCTGCCTCAGCCCCCGCCACAATGGCTTTGTCTGGAAGGACGTCAGATGTATGGTCAACCCAGTCTAATTAGCTTATTATCCTTTTATTAGTATAGATGGTTGGAGGAGAATTTTATTATTGAAACAAATGCTAGAGTCCTTAACTTGGTGTCCTACTCTTTTTCTTCTTGGAGCAGGGATGCTGAGTCTTATAATTACTCTGCCCAAGTACATGTTCTTTGCCTCAGAGGTCTTGATCTGCTCCACATTCCCTGAATGTATGTGCACTCTCAAGCTCCTGTGACTTAGCATTGAGATGCCCTTGTCCATTTATTCTCTTGGGTTAATGCTTCCTGTCACAACCCAGCAGTCATATTTTTTTCACCTTTTGAAAGTATTTCCAGCCTTAAAGCTGAACTCAATTAGATGCCAGTTCTCTCCTTTCTCTATATTGATATAGCATCCTGTGCACTTATTACATTGAATTTTAATAGTGGGTTTGCTTCACTGTCCTCTCCCTACCTCCCTGCCCTTGTCCAATGTTTGGCACATACTAGACACTGTAAATATGTACAGAAAAACGAATAGAAACAGCTGCTGCCTTTAGAGTTGACTTTTTAACCCCTGGTGCTCCAGCAGCTGAAATCTGGAAACTTTACCAAGGGGAGCCTACACAAAATCGAGGTAGGCTGTTTTAAGAGTATTGCGTTGGAGGGAATGCATGTGCGTGCACGCATGCACACACACATATAAATACACACACACTGCTGCTTCTCTGAGCAAGCCAGGACAAATGGAATAATTGAATAATATGAGGTGGAATTTAAATTTATAACATGTCTTATCTGTTTAATTGAATTACAAAAGGGTTTTCTTTAATGGCATTAAATAGCAATGTATTTTATGAAGGTTGCATAGTTTATATATGCTATGAAAATTTATCTTTGTTTAATCTATGTTATATATAAAGAGAATACTCAAATATTATATATTTTGAAATCCATTTCTCCCCAAACATGGTGTGGAACAAAGGCCATTTTTTAAACATATACTGAATTAACTTTGAAACTACATTTCAGAGATGCAATCTTTGATAAAGTGTTATAAATGCATAAAATCAGTCAGAAGCAAAGAACCATGATTGGGATTGCCAGTGCAAATGTATTACGTAGTATATCTCAAGTTACATTACATATTCTGTAGATTAATGGGCTCTAAAACAATCATTGAGCAGTAAGGTAATTGTGGATTTCAGTTAGTAAATAAAACAAATTGGTTGTTTCTTATGACATGTCATATAGCATATGACATATTTGCTTTTAATTACATTTTTTTTTTTTTTTACTGAGAACTTGGCAGTGTAATGCATTCTTACCCAACTAGCAAACTAATTTCATTTTTGTTTCATGACTAATTTGTTACCTGTTCTAAATTTTACTGTGATTTCTTTTTAATATTTTTTCTATTTTTGAAAATTTATAGTATTTTTCAATAAGACATTCTACTTTGCTATCTTTACTCTAAGTCCAACGTGATCTAAATTTTAATATTTTACTAAAAAAGAAGTTAACTGGTAATATTATATTAATACTTTTAGTCTCTCTTGATGGATGTTAATTACTTTTTCTTTGTTTTGTTAATCTAGAAACGGCTGGTTTTAATCAAATACATCACTATCTGTTAAAAGAAACCAGACCTGAAATGGAAGTAGAAATCTAATGTATGAAGACACAGAAACTGCTTCATTTGACTCAAAATGGGAACAAGTGAAGAGATGGTATCGGTGGAACACACCTCCTCGTCCTTCAATCCTCTGTGTTTTGAATGTGGTCAGCAGCACTGGACAAGAGAAAACCACTTGTATAATTACCAGAATGAAGTAGATGATGACCTGGTCTGCCATATTTGCCTTCAGCCTCTATTGCAGCCATTAGACACCCCCTGTGGACACACATTCTGCTGCAAGTGCCTCAGAAACTTCTTACAAGAGAAAGATTTCTGTCCATTGGACCGAAAAAGACTTCACTTTAAGTTGTGTAAGAAGTCTAGTATTTTAGTTCATAAACTTCTGGACAAATTATTAGTTGCATGTCCTTTTTCTTCAGTGTGCCAGGATGTGATGCAGCGCTGTGATCTGGAGGCACATCTTAAAAACAGGTAAGTAAAAAATATGAAAGAAAGAAAAAGTGATTCTAGGTTTTATAAAATGGCTGTTCAAATACTTGATTAAAAATATACCAAGGCATCAATAAATAAATGAACAAATAAAATACAAGAGATACAATAAATGAATAAGTTGTATGGAATATCGGTTTTATAAAAAAAAAAAAAGCATGAATATAAAAACTGTGGTAAGGAAGTACGATTTTATACCTATTAATGTTTTTGCTGGTAAAATATGAAGGTACTATATTTACATGGGTAGCAGGATATAATGATATACCCTTTTGCAAGACATTTAGAAAACTGTAATTGTAACTATCCTTTTATCCATATTATTATCCTAAGAAAATAATCCACAAAAAGGAAAGATTGTATTTAAGGATGTTCATTGTCACATTGAGCATAGTTCAGTAAATTGGACTCAATCTAATTAACAGTAGAGGAAGAGTTAAAAACAGTAGTGCATCAACTCAATGGGATATTTTGCAGCCAATAAAAATGATAGATTTGTTGTAACATGAAAAATGTGAGGGCACATATAGTAGGCAACTGATCGATGTTTCTCTCCCCGCCTTCCCACTTCCTCTCTCTCTAAAAGTCAATAAACATATCTTTGGGTGAGGATTATTTTTTAAAAGATTCTGCATTTAGGGACTAGTCTGAATAAGAACTAGAGGTGGAAATTTCAAAACACTTAGGTTTTATTTTTATCCTAACAAAAACTTTTTAAAAGGTTAAGTAATTTATTTAGCTGATTATTTAGTGAGATTTATAATTTGACTTTGGTAAAATTCTTGATCTTTAAATTTATTTATACCCTTAGAAGGAATAAAATACATCGCATGTCTTTTTTTTTTTTTTTAATATATTTTATTGATTTTACACAGAGAGGAATTGAGAGGGATAGAGAGTTAGAAACGTCGATGAGAGAGAAACATGGACCAGCTGCCTCTTGCACACCCCCCACTGGGAATGTGCCCACAACCAAGGTACGTGCCCTTGACCGGAATCAAACCTGGGACCTTTCAGTCCACAGGCCGAAGCTCTATCCACTGAGCCAAATTGGTTTTGGCACATCGCATGTCTTAAGTAGGTCGAATCACATAAAGTGACAGAAAGAAATGTACTCATTTCTAAATTTCAAATTTAAGTCACTTGCATAGTATAAAGCTGCAGCAATTTTAAGTTATATGAAAACAATTGAGTATAATACAGGGTGGGGCAAAAGTAGGTTTACAGCTGTTTGTGTGGAAGATACAACCTATATATATAAAAAGCCAGTGACCACAATACCATAATTGGAACAACCAGTAGCTGTGATTCCCACTGTGGCCAGCAAACTGGCCCAATCGGGGGTGGGGCTAGCTGGCCAATCCTCCACCGCCCTTCCCAATGGGCCCCAACCTCCATGGGCCCCCACCACCCTGATCCACCTGCAGCCCCCAGCCAGCCCCACCTCTGATTGCCCCTCTCTACCCCAATGGGGAACAGGATCGGCAAGCCAACCTTCTTCAGCCCCTTCCCCGACCTGGCCCCACCCCAGATCATGCCCCCCACCCCAATTAGGGGCAGGGCTGGCCAGCCAACCACCCATGGCCCTTCCCTCAGGCTGCTGGCCCCGATTGGCTCTCCCAACCACATTTAGGGGCAGGGCCAGCCAGCCCACCGTCCACAGCCCCTCCCCATAGCCAGCCCCACCCCAATCAGCCTGCAGCCACTCCCCCAGCCAGCTCCACCCCCAATTGCCCCCCACATATACCAATCAGGGTTGTGGCTGGCTGGCCAACCTCCCAAGGTCCTTCCCCTAGCCTCTAACCCCTGATTAATCCCTCCCCATTCAGGGGTGGGGCTGGCCAGCCCACTACCCACAGTCACTCCACACAGCTGGCCCCACCCCCAATTGGTCTCCCCCACCCAATCAGGAGCAGGGCCTTCTTGCCAATTGCCCAGCCCTGATGAGCCCCGATCAGGGTTGGCCAGCCAGCCAACCTCCCACTGTCTCCTCCTCCCAGGAAATCCACCCTGATTGGGGCTGGGCCGGCCAGACCCCACCCATGCACAAATTCATGCACTGCACCACTAATTAATAAATAATACAAGAATAAACTATTTCATGTTCTCAAAAAAAACTTCCCATAGATTTAGAAATACCGTGTTTCCCCGAAAATAAGACATGCTCTGGAAATAAGACCTAGCGCATGGAAAAATAAGACATCCCCTGAAAATAAGACCTAGCGCATCTTTGGGAGCAAAAGTTAATATAAGACACTGTCTTATTTTCGGGGAAACAGGGTAGTATAAATCTGGCATAGAGTAACTTTTCATTACATTCACACATAAAATCATAGAATTTAAAGAGATTAATTTCACTTTACAAATCAGGAAACTGAGTTACAAAAACATAGTGCTAATTAATAACATAGTTAGACTTAAACTTCCATATTCTTCTTTACTATTCTAATATGCCATGCTGACTTTTCCACAAGTTGAATCATGTTCTCTACTGCTATGTTGTCCCATGCACCAAAGGGTCATGGGTTCAATTCCTGGTCAAGGGCACATACCTGAGCTACAGGTTCAATCCCCAGCCCCTGGTCAGGGTGAGTGCGGGAGGCAACCAATTGATGTGTCTCTATCACATTATTTTACTCTCTCTCTCTTTCTCTCTCTTTCTCTCTGTCTCTCTCTCAATATATATGTATATGTATATATGTATATGTGTATATGTGTATTGTGTGTGTATGTATGTATGTGTGTGTATATATAACTGCCCCCCCCCCATTCTCTTCTCTCTAAAACTCAATGGAAATGCATAAATTTTATCACCAGCAAGTGATTCATTGTATAAAAGTTATGATGTCTTTGTTTTTGAATTTTTAGGATTTGGCCCACTGACTTTTCAGCTACAACTAAAAATATTTGTGAAAGACGAATGTGTTTTTAAATAAAATTACTAGTTATTAACAGATTGTATGTTAGTAAAACAATGAAGAATTTGAAGACATGAAAAACTACACTTCTTTGAAAGAAAAATTAAAACGTTAAAGAAATATTCTGTATATTATACTAAGCATATTACATTTTAGTAGTTACTTTGTGAGATTCTGCCAAACACCATCAACTTTAAAACATCCCTCCTCCCCTGCTCTACACCTCTTTCCTGCCTCACCCTCAACAATTTAACATGTAAAGCTTATAAGAATTGTAAATATTATATTTTTTATGTTAAATTGAGCATTGTGCCCTAGCTTATGACAAGATTCAGGACTACTTTATTTTCCTCTTTAAAAAACATAATAATTTAACATTCTGGTAAAAAGTGTGTACACTATAGAGAAAATCTTTAAAGAAGTCTTTTTCCATGATGAGACCTTTCCTAGATCATCAAATGGTATTTTTGTTTGTTTGTGTTTTGTTAATCCTTACCCATTGATATTTTTAGAGAGAGTGCAAGGGAAGAAGGGATGGAGAGAGAGGGAGAGAGAGAGAGAGAGAGAGAGAGAGAGATCAATGTGAGACACATCAATTGGTTGCCTCCCACACATGCCTCCACTGGGATCAGGGATGAACCTGCAACCCAGGTACATGCCCTTGACCGGGAACTCAACCAGGGACCTTTCAGTGCGTGAGCCAATGCTCTATCTATTGAGCCAATTTTCTGAGCCACAATAGCCAAGTTTCATCTAATGGTTTTAAAGTCTTTATGGGTCAGGATAGGCTGAGGCAAGATTGCTCTTTTACATTCACATTTTAGCTTGGAGGGAAATTTGAATTTGGCACATTTTTTAAAAATAAATGTTTATTGATTTCAGAGAGGAAGGGAGAGGGAGAGAGAAATAAAAAGCATTAATGATGAGAGAGAATCATTGATTGGCTGCATCCTGCACACCCCTCACTGGGGATCAAGCCCATAACCCAAGCATATGTCCTTGACCCTTCATTCTCAGGCCAAAGCTCTATCCACTGAACCAAACCAGCTAGGGTTAGTTTGGCACATTCTTACCAATATTCATTTCTCATATATAATGTAAAAAACAGATTATCTATCTATATATCTATATCTATCTATATATATATATATATATATATATATATATATATATATATATATATATTTAAATCATTTACCTGGTAAGAGTCTAGTATCCAGGCTATATAGGGTTCTTATCCTATCTAATAAAAGACTATTATGCAAATTGACTTTACCTCTGCTACACTCATAAACCATGCCCACTAGCCAATCAGGAGCAAAAATGCAAATTAACCCAACCAAGATGGCTGTGGCCACGGAGCGAGCAGGAGGCTTGGGTTTCCCCAGCAACGGAGGAAGCCACACTTTCCATCTGCCCTGGCCTGCCATGGCCTCTACTCAAGGCTACAAAGTTTCAATTATAGAAGATAAATAAATCCCAACAAAAATGGCTGTGGCCACAGAGTGAGCAGGAGGCTTGGGTTTCCCCAGCGATGGAGGACACCAAGCTTTCCTAATGCCCTGGCCTGCCCTGGCCTCTGCTAAAGACAACAAAGTTTCAATTATAGAAGATAAATAAATCCCAGATCCCAGGGCTTCCATTTGGGTCGCTGGGGGATGTTGCCTGCCTGCAAACCACCACAGGCCTCTCTTCCAGGCCACCACATGCCCCAGGGGAACCCCCAGCCTGATCTAGGACACCCTTCAGGGCAAACCAACCGGCCCCCACCCATGCACCAGGCCTCTATCCTATCTTAATAAAAGAGTAATGTGTAAATTGACCATCACTCCAACACACAAGATTGCTGCCCCTGTGTAGACACAAGGTGCCAGCAGGGGAGGGCAGTTGTGGGCAATCAGGCCAGCAGGGGAAGGCAGTTGGAAGGGACCAAGTCTGCAAGGGAGGGCAGTTGGGGGCAATCAAGCCTGCAGGGGAGAGCAGTTAGGGGTGACCAGGTCAGCAGAGGAGGGAAGTTGGGGCAACTAGGCCTGCAGGGAAGGGAAGTTTGGGGGCACCCAGGCC